AGCCTGTTATATTGTGGCTCATTTGAACGATATAGAGAAGGGTAATAAATAATGCTTCCAACGTTCATCAATTCATTTATGGGATGTGGCATGCATTTGACTTCCTCACAGTACTAAAAACATTTGAATGTGGCATGGCCTATGCAATGACTGCCGATGTGCAAGTCAGCTATCTTATCCTAGCAGATAAATCTGGTAGCATTTCACCGGTCTCGGAGAGTAGAATGTTTGGCTTCCTTGGGCGAGAGCCAGGCCAGTTGGCCTTCTACCCTCCCGGGGCGGGATGAGAGCGGTAAAAAGCTCGGTTGAGCTGCCTGGTGAGACTCTTTTGAATTACTACGTAGAGTTTACAGCTTATAAGACTGTGCAAGTATGTGTGTGCTCATTCGGTCCTACACTAGTCGGGAGCAATGATTCAGACTACCCGTCCGACGACGAAATTTCGAAGGAATCGGAAAACGGTCGCACCGGAGAAGATTATTTGAGAGGTTCTTGCTAGACCGCCGTTTCATACGTACCGAACACTCATAAGGCGGACACGAAAAACTCATGGAGGTTATATGAGAAAAAAAATTAAAACTAAAAAAAAACTAAACTAAAAAACTAAAAAACTGCCGTTCCCTAGTGTAGCTTGGAGTGTTCTCAGACAGACTGTACCTCACCGCAGTAGACCCTGTTCCTTGCAATGTAGATGGCGTCGCATCCGTAGCAAAGGCCACATCTGCACCTGCACAGGAACCGGGTAGAGTGTTGTAATAACACTACCACCGTTTCCGGACAGCGCCCGCCTGCAGCACCATTAGCCAAACTTCTAAACCATAGCCAAACGCGCTACTTGCCTGTGTCCTCTCACTTCTGGTCGTCCTCTCCCTCTGCGTGTTCGCTCGACATTTTCTACTCACGCATGTTCTGGGCCTTAAGGATAGCGCGTACGGAGTATGGAAACTCGAAGCAACTAGGACTCCAGCTCTTTCACTTTTGAGCGCGAAAAAGTGGCATCTACTGAGCTGCGACCCATTCATCCTCTCACAAAGCACCGTCCTCGAGAAAAAAAAGTTACAGTTTGACTTTGAGTGATGTAGACGACAGCTACGGTAATTATCCGCTTGCAATCGAAAAATGCTATTGCGGAGGCGTGTACTGGAGCGCGGTCAGGGGGCCTCTTCAACTGTTTAGTGTCAACCTGAGCCTACAACCATTGGTAAAAGGGCTGCCCTGCCTGCGCTCCAGTGGACACCCCTTCAAACACGCTCTCGTATGCAGTGAAAATCACTGTAGCTGGCATCAATGTACCTGCACCCAGTAGCATCCTCGGGTTTCTGGACAGATGTTAACAGCAATAAAAACGTGGCGTTGGTTCCAGTGAACCGGTAACATTAAATGAAGGCTCATTACCATGCAGTGGGCTGGACGATGTCATTGGCGTCCATTGCATGCATGTACTATCGATTGTTCAGGCTGAAAAGGCCTTGTGCAGGAAAGCGGTCAGCGACTAGAGGCTGCTCCTGGCTATGCGCACAGACTGATTCCATGATTTAGTATTGGATTGGATCAGTAACCACCTAGAACATTGAGAAGTTCTTTTCAAGCACAATCACCATTCTGTTCATTTCCTCATCGTTGAACTATGGCGAGCACTGATCCAGGACTGCTCCAACCTCAAGCATTACCACTTCGAAAAGGTCAAAGATGTAGGCTTCGAGAGTGGGCCTTTTTACGGTCCCTGTACGAGGCAGCGGCGCTGTAGCGACGAGGGGCGGCGGGGGCTCGTGTTCGCGAGGCGTTTCGTACCAAATTGCTTCCGCTATGTTTCCAGCTTTTACGATATTTCTCACAAATGGTAAAACCCGTGTGAAGCTTGGCCGCCACCAGTCAAGATCAGCTCGTCTAGCCCACCATCCTCTTCAAAATGGCTTCGTCAACTCGAGAAAAGCTGCTTAGATCGCGTCGCGCACATCTAAAGGCCGAATGCCCCCTCCGTCGACTAAACTGCGCCAGAGGTAGCTCCAAGCATTTCCAAATCTTTCGGAACGGTGTTCAACGTTACGAGGTTTACCGTGGTCCTATAGGATAATGAGGATCGTTCTCGGCTAAGCAAGTGTCCAGCAGCACATCGTGCTCCAAACGATGCACATCTTAGAGCGATTGCCGAGTCGCAAAATATGTCAACCTTTTCACATACGGATCAGCGGAAACGATCGCTCAGCCAAACGTGAAATATGCCGTTATGAAATAAACGTCGAAACTTACTTTTTCCCTCATCTCTTTACGTCGCCACTTTGCTCGTCTATTTTGAAACCATACCTAAACGAAAATTTCTCACCGATAGAAGGATCACTTAAATTGCAGAAGTGATAAATTCCCCTTTGTTAATAAGCTGAGAAACAGCAGACATGGTACTCACATTTATTCTTTAGCGAAATTCATTACTTTCACAAGCCGAGAAACTTATACGCGATTCGGTCTATACAAAGTTTCTAGGGGAGGTGATGTACAAGTCACTGTTTTCACTCTGCTTGAAGAATCTGCTACCAGTTAAAGGCAAACCCCGCAATTGCATATTGTGAGTTGTGGCGTTCAGTTACGAGCCTATGGTAGCTGGGTGACTCTCAAGGGAAGAAAAAAGCCAAAAAAAAATCATGGAAAGTACTGTGGAGAGCACAAGTAAGGACCCCTGGCAATCGCACTCCACGAGTTCTCGGGACCTGCTTGTTTTATACCAGCAAATTGATATCCTATTAGGTCTAGCTCAGTTAACTTTTGCTCGCGTCATTCAATGTTAATACAATCGAAATTCCTGAGATCGGGTAGGCGTGGCCGCATGTTTCAACTTAACCTGAAGGTGTCTATGCTTCTGGTGAGATATTTTCATCTTGACACAATTGTTGTCGTGTCTCTGTCCAACACAGAACAAGATGACAGTTGTCCCAGACTGGAATATTCCACGAGTAACCAGTTCCGTGCCATGTTCAAATGCCACGCCTACTCTGGCTCAGGGATAAGGAGTGTATGTATCATCTAACAGTAAAAGAAACGAAAAACACAATTGAACTCGTGACAGAAATTGCCCTTGAGTTTCTGTGGACGGGACAACTAGGGAGGCGTCAGAACTGCCATATATGAGGGACACAGCGCCTTCATTACTCACTGTAAAGCCGCGAAAGAGGCGCAGCCTTAGACACTGCGGACCAGCCTACTTAAATAAAGAAGATCGTCTACGGATTGTTCTTTAAGCGATACTGAAGGGAAGGAAGGTTTGGTCGGTGTGACAGGGATTCCGTACTGAATTTGACCCATGGACCGTGCAGTTGATGATCGGTGCCCTTTTGCCGCTATACCGCCTCCATCCCATTTGGCCAAATAGTCAATAGCCTCGCAATAATGATAGGTTTTACCGCACTTAAACTCCATCTTGTCCCGGTGCAATGAAATCATAACAGCCCGAAGATCCTGATCCTGAGGTTCCACTGTTACAGGCGGCAATGCGATCGTAATTTGTGATGGGCCGAGTAGCTTTGATTAAAAGGACAGCGTGCAGCAAGTAAGAATAACTTGCGTCCGATTCTGCAAGAGATGTGGAGACTCGAAACGGGAAAAATAAAAATAAGCCAATAAACAATGAATGCATAAGGATTAGCTTGAGTTATTTGTCTTTTCTGATGCTTTGAAGGCAGTTCACACCGAAAATAATTAAGACGATTAGGATTAATACGCCTGGCAGGACGGGATTCCGCGTCCCTGATCAGGCGCTGCGTAGCTCCTTTTCCAAGGGAGGTACTGTTATAAGGCCCTATTACGCTGCAACACACCGACCCAGACGTCCATCGCACCGGCCCGCCACAAATGGACGACCGTACCTAATGCTCGCATTGGTTCATTTGCTAAGAAGGGATTGATATGAAGCGGCCGCAGTGCTGCATTGATATACGAGTACATACGTACTGCTGCACCTACCGTAGCGGGTATTGGGCAAGATGCCTACGGGAAACTCGACCGAAATTACTTTTTGAGTAATTGCGAAAAAAGGTCTTCCTCGGCAGGTCCTTGGCCGTTTCACTTCGATTTTTCGCCATTTTCACACTTTATAGCGCCCCACTAGCATTTCAGACCGAGTACCAAATTATTGTGCCATATGCCTTTAATTGCTGAGAAAGTGGAAGCTCAATAGCCGAGTTATGGCCAATTATTTAGCGATTACTTAGTCCTAGATGCGATAGTGGCAAGTGGTGTCCCTTACCAAGCATACGGTCGGGATACTAAAGCCACTACTATTCTGAATACGAGAAGCATACTTGCAGCGTTTCCAGTGGTCTTCCCCTTCCCTTCCCATCCCCCCCCCACCTTTCACAAGCTAGCCAAGCCTTCCATCCTTCACTATCATCAAAATGCACCACTTTCATCTCGAATTTCAAAAACACTGACGTCTAGATCGGTTGCACCCGCAAACCATACCGTAAGCCATATCCCATTCAAAAAGCCACTACTATTCTAAATACGAGTAGAATTAAAAAAGGGACCGATCACAGGCCAATGCTTTACACTTGTTGGCCTTAATATAGTTACAAGGTTTAGACACGAATGCATTTGTATTTTCGAAAATGTGAGATCACTGAACAAAAAAAGTGACCGATGTACTGTACTACTGTCGCGGAACGTCATGCTACCGGAATGAATAACAAGAGTGTGAAGCTCAAGCTCATTCCAAAAACGAAAGACATTGAGGCCGCGAAAGTTTTATGAATAAGTTTGGAAAAATTTTTGGGACTTCTATGCCTTTCGAGTTTTTTGGAATGAATTTTGGAGCTCCATCGCTGTTCAACATTCAGAAAAAGTGGTCGAATTAAAAAATCTTATGGATATTTACGAGCTCAGAAGAGGAAGTCAGTAAGAGGTAAAGGTATTGATTTTTCTATATTATTTTTATTTCGTCGGTAATAAATCAGCATTAGGATGGTTGACGTTCGCAACACTAACAATTGTTGTGCGATTTGTTTCAGTCGTTAATCCCGATCGCCGTCTCGGACATCTGGCCAATATACCGTATCGCGGAGCACATGTCCAACCGTCACCATTCTCAACTTCCGCCCGCTCATCAGCTGAATCCCGTGAGCAATTGGCATTACGAAGTAGCAGAAGTACCAACACAGTATCCACATAAAGTTACTTGCATCAAGAGACTTCTGAACCAGAACTTCGAGTAATACTCTTAGCAGAACCCTCCTTTTGCCGTGTGAACGAGCGATTATTGGACGCAGTGGTGAGATGGTGATAGCTTTCCAAATCTATGAAGATAGCCAATTTCTGCCCAGTGTGCACCGTGATTTCACTGGTTTTTCGTGTCGGAGAATCTACTGGACTAGCCTGCCCAGCAACGGAGACGAATGGAGGCATTGCTGGCGCTCGCGTGATCATCAACGGGACGACAGACGAGGTGGCGTGATGCGAGATTTATGGAAACCGAATAGATTATGCGGGTTCAAAAGACCTTCCAAGGTTGACGCCGGCTTCTGCCCCCCCCCCCAATAGTCATTTCCTCTTTACAGGCAGAATGAATGGTCTTCTTTACAGTACCTCCCAGGCTACCATAACAACATAAAAGTGACAAATAAAGTGGGAGTAAAGCCACGGGTAACTCTCTTAAACGCTCCTTATCCTTCTAGTGCAATGGAAACTCTTGATCAAACAGATCAAACTATCGCAGAAACGAGTGACGAGCTGCAGAGGTTCAAACGCTCACTTTACTTACAATTACACGATTCCGTAGAGCGCTACATTGTCTTAAGAGCTGAGTGTTATGAAAAACCACCGAATGTAAGAAATTTCAACTTTTTGAAAGGAGCGTATGAAGGAGCAATATTGACGCTGCAGTAGGCATTAGAGCTAAAGACACCTACCGTAATACGATCTTCAGGGATATCGAGCTTCTCGGCCATATCCTTTTTGGCTGACTGATCTGGATAGTGGGACTCTTGAAATGCTTCTTCCAATAGCAAAGATTGAGCTTCTGTGAAATTCGTGCGAAATCGTCGTTTCAGCGCAGAGTTGGGAGATTCTGAAACCAGAAAATTATAACACTAAAGTTGAACAGGTCCATTGTGTCTTTGCAACAGGGGAGTGGACCAACTTTCCTTTGGGGGGGTCATCAAGTCTTTGGCTAGCACCCTTATTGTCTCATGGGGCTATCTTATATACAGTGATTCCTCTTTACCCAAATCACCCGAGCTCATGCGCATACGGTAGTGTCACTAATTCTCTATGCCATGAATAACATTCTATCTCGAAGACCTGTCAGCCAGTGTTACTGGTGTCACCAACGTTGGTGTCTGTCGTCTCTCACTTGGTCCTCATCTCTTAGCTTTTGTCTCAGGTCTCTCGCTGGCGCCCACAGTGCCCCTTCACTACGCGCTGGATTTCTTCCCTATAGGTCGAACAGAAATCACCAATAAGTTGATCAGTTCGATAGAATTGCAGAATCCATGAAACACTGAATGAATCAGAGTTGTTGGAAAGTACGGATGTGGACATTATACATCGGTGAAACTGACCCCAAGTAATCCCCTTAAATATAGTCTTCCTCTCCAGCTGGGTTCCCAGTGTACGTCGGTTAGACAACAGATGTAGAAATCATACTGGAACAACTTTATACCAAAATGACTGCTTCATTTCGTAATTTGGTCCAAGTCACTTGTATCGATATGATACTGCACGGCGAATCAGGGAGATATCATCAAGTGAAGAAGGGGATGAGAAAAAATCAATTATTCGCTGCTCTATTGAAGTAAAACTGAGAGAAGAGGAACTCTGTAAAGAGCTATCACAAGAAAGGCTTGACTCCGGCCTGGACCCGACACTGTACCTTGGGTTTTGTGTGCTCATCCTTTTACATTTCGAAGTTATCAAAATTCTTAATTCTTTATCCACCGTAAAGCAGTCGTCGATAATGTGAGAAGCTTCACCCTTGCAGTAACTCTCTAGCTCTATTACTCTTTCACCATGGTCCTCTACTATCCTTACCGTATTAACATACCCAATTTGGCCCACGATTTGTTGTGCAGATAGCCGGTGTTCCCACCGTTTAATTAATGACGGTGACCTGCATAATTAACAATGTCCATCCACTCGGAGAAAACCCCTAAAGAAATTTGAAGTCAACACTTTCTGGGATTCTACCTGCACTCAGTTTCACGGAGTTTATTCCCTTGCACACACCATGCTATCTCTTGGAAAGCTCCACGAAATGGAAACAAGGGTGGGAAATGGGAAAATGTGAAGTGACAGGTTCCAAGGTAGAGTTCTCTTTAAAAATATCCTGTTTCAGAGCGTGATTATCCGGCTTTGAAGATTTATAATTCTTATGTTTTTGTTGGTTGTTGCTAGAAAATCGACCTGGAAATCATTTAGGAAACATTTTCTCGTGCGTAATATGCCCGGGAAAATAGCAGTAATCTTACTAAAACCACCGGGCTGTCAGACTTGGCAGAGGTGACAATGCTAGATTTAGCCGCTGACTTTCCTTATTCGTGAAATGTAATTGTTCTCTTTTACATAAAAGTTACCGATTTGAGCTATTTCCTACAATTCCACTCTAATAATGAGGCTAATATATTAGGTAATCAGGGGGTCTGTCTTCAGATCATCTTTTTAAATGGATGTAAAAAAATAAAATTATA